TTCTCTTTGAAGTCCTGTCATAAAAACAAAAAGTGAGGCAGCAAGTTGCATTTCAAAAGGTGAGGCACAATTTTAAACATTGTCACAGAAACCCTTTTACATGCACATGTTCGCCACAAACGCCATGAAACAATCTTCTTTCGATTCAAAACCACACGATGAGCCTGACGAATTCGACTTGAAGGAATGGGCTCTGAAGGCGAAAGTCAGCCGAGAAAACACGAATTCGAGAAGATTTTCGGCATCGAATTTTAAGAGCTTCAGAGAAAATCAAAGGTCTTTCGGATCAAACATAAACATTTCCAGCACGGTTTCTTCCCCTGGCTACAACACCATTCGAGGTAATAACAAATTCATTCAACATGATTTTTACATCTTCACAAAGTTAAATTAAGTTTGATCTGATTGAGTTTGTTCTCTTCTTTGGAAATAATTTATGCAGACGAGATTAACCCTGCAACATATTCATTCACAAATGCTTTGAAAGGTAAGGATTTTGTACAAACTACACTCTTAAGGTCTTGTTAATTGCTTTCTTGATCTGACTTTTACCTTTTATTCTTTTTTTTTTTTTTGTTTGGTTAATTTGGGTGCAGCATTACAAGCAAGAACAGTCTATAGTAATACATGGGAGTATTTATCACCAGATAATGGAGGATTAACTCTCAATTCCAAATGGAATGATGCAGAAAAATACATATGCAATCCCCTGTCAGGACAAGTTCCTTTGCAATGCCTATCATCAAAAGCTCTAATAAGTGGAAGCTCGTCTCAAAGCCTAATAAGAAGCAAACTTACATTATCTGCACCACTCATCTACCAGCCTTCTCAGTTGAACCATTTTCAGACAAAATCCTCAACCAATGATAGTCAAAATCAAATCAAAATAGTGGCAATCCAAGGTCATTCTTTTTAACTGCTTTGGAGTTCCATTCCAATTTTTCAATTTTATTTCTCTCTTGTTTCTCTTGTCTGAAACTTAGATTTGTTTTTTTTTTTTTGGTTAACTAAGTCTCAAGGGTGATAGAGACAAGGGTGTTCTCCAGATTTACATTTACCAAACAGATTTATAGTCATAGAGATAGATGTTAGTCTTTTCAGTTAATTAGACATGTAATTGTTCATGAATGCAGAAGAAAAAAGGAGCACAACAAGAGATGTTGGTACTCAAATCAAATTCAGTTCTAAGAGTCCAATTCCATCTCTAAATCCTTCAATTGAAGAAAAATCAATTAAGCCAATTGTTCAAGAAGAAACTAGAGACTCAATTGTTACCTCCAAAACAATGAAATCACAGGATAAGGTACTTTTTAAATCCCCTCAACTATTTATATATCATTTTAATTAGTCCTATTATAGTCACACCGATTATAATAAAAGTGAAATTACAAAAATGGCCCATAGAAGTGTTGAACTTACCAAGTTCCATGGGAATTTTATATTGATTTCTAAAGTGATGAATAATACTTATAGGTGGATGAGAAGGTACAAGAGAAAGAAATGGGAGAAAAAAGAAATGAGGGAAGGAAGAGAAAGAAGGTGATGATGATGATGACTAGCACGTGCAGCGATGGGGGAAAAGGCAAAGGATGCTTATCATTCATCAACTTTTGGCGGCAAAAAACAAGAAACCAAAACAATAATGCAACTTTGTCTACCTTCCTTTGCCATGTTAATGCTTCATTTCAACAATAATGATGTTCATGCACATGTATGTCCGTATATATATGTGTGTGTGTTTCTGTGATCAATCTTTAACATATTTCTTTGCAAATGACAGGAAAAAAAAAATCCTCAATTTTGAGTTTCATTCGAATAATAAATATATGGATGTATAAAACAACATATATTTTACTTGTACCACGTTTTTTAATTTTATATAGCTATTTTTTACCAACCCAAATGAAATATAGTCACATTGTAAAAACTAAAAAGGCAATGAAATATAGTCGTTTTTTGCATGTAAAATGACCATATTACCCTTACAAAATGGTTTGTGAGAAATAGACGGGAAAAAAGGCAACTCCACTATCACATCAACTTTAATTTCTGTACCTATCATTTCTTCCTAAACTTTGCATGCTTAAGGAAAGGATATGAGAAATAGATTAAGGAAAGAATTTGAAATGATAGTTCAAAGAAATTGCTTCAGAATTCATCTGCCAAGACCTTTTCCAAATAATTTCAACTCACTACTATCACTACAAAAAAATTGTTATATTCCAACAGAAAATCCTACAATAATATATTACAATGGATATTTCAATGGTATAGTTTTCGTTGGAATGATTCCAACGAAAATATTGCGTTGGAATGACTTTTCTATTTGAATTTTAGATGGAAGTTGATGATTTAACGGCTATTTTTTCAACGCTTTTTTACCGTAGAAATTTCCGTTGAAATATGCAATTTCTGTTGGAATTTTTATTTCCACATCCGATGAAAAATCTACTGTTGGATCGTTAAAATTCAACGAAAATTCCAATAGAAAACTCATTCCAACGAAATATTTTTGTTGGAATTTTCGTTGGAATTCCATTAAAATATATTTCTATTGGAACTTTCCGTTAGAATTTCATCATTTTGTTGTAGTGTATTTACTTCCAAAAAAATTGCATAGTTNTTCCTAGCACAACTTTTGGCAAAATACATAACCAATTGAAGAAATGTATATTCACCTTTTTATTTAAAAAATTATTTTTTATATTGTGGAAACCATTTTTAGAATAGATATTTTAGAAATCAATTTCTCGAGAGAAACCAACTTTGGTTCCCAGAAATAATTTTGAATTCTAGAAATGATTTTTTGTAGATAAAATATTTATTTTCTTGAAAGCCTATATATGGGGCTCTATGCAAGAAATTATAAGTTTATAGAAACCATTTATGGGAATAGAAAAAAATGGGTTCAAGAAACCATTTATAAAACTCATATAATTTTATTCCAGAAACTATTGTGGGACTCATAAAATAATTTTTATGGTCTAGAAACCGTGCCTGGAACTCAGATATTTTACGGTCCAAAAATTGTTTCTAGAATTCGGAAAATCTTTTCTAGAAATATATTTTTGGAGTTAGAAATTTATTTTCAAGAAACTATTTTTATTTAGAAAGTTTATTTTTTAGTTTGTTTTCAGATGGACTGTGATAAAGTTCGAAATATTCACAACGGATTTTGCGATGAGAATGTATACAAGAATGACAAGACAAAGATTTTTTGGGTGTCTTCGAACTTCATCTTATGAAACTTTTATAAATATGATTCATGACATAGATCGTGGAGACAAAAACATGTGTGACTACCGATTTCACTTTTTAATGGTCATGATAATGGAGAGTTAGAGAAATGGAGAATCTCTTATGAATTCAATCTCCGACATGTGTCTAACATGTTCAAAACACCTACCATATATGTTATACCGAGGGACAAGGTGGATTTATGGATTTAGTTGTTGCTCATGATCCACCTCTATACCCATATGGTATTGTGTATACATCTTTTATGAACTTACTCAACCATCAAGATCTCATGCGGCAGACAATGGCAGCCATATAGTATATGAAACAAGAAGGACAAAATCAATCTGACCCGGTACCTCAAGTTATTTTACCGAACAAGTTGATTGGGGTGTAGATAGTAAGTTCAATGGGGATCCTCGCTATCGAATTTATGTGGTTCTGGGATTCTGCAGCCGGGGGAGGTCGCGTGACGGAGGCAGATGGGTGAAGACGAGCTAGAAATAGAGATTGGGATTGCAAGACCTCATTTTTAAAAATTCGATAAGTTCTAAGGACTATTTTGTAATTTTAAAAGTTTTAGCTAATTGCAACTAAGGCATGGGGCAAGTATGCGATTTTCAAATTTTGTAAAAAACTGTAGTCTGGTCCTTGAAGCATGTTTGTAATTTTAGAAAGTTGTGCATCCATCCACGTCAAAAATTAGTCCTCCCACGTCAGAAATTAATCCGCCCACGCAGGGGCGGACGCAGACTCGCAAGATTGAGGGGCACAAATGTAACCTTTGCAAAGTGCAAAAAAAAAAAAAAATTAAATAATATTTATTCTCTACATGTTCTTATATATTATATCACTCAAAATTACATAAATTCAAATCTCATTAAATATATCTTTTTCAAATACCAACATTGTTTTTTCTTTGCATTGGATAATCTACAACATCAGTATTGGTGGACATCTTTATAATACAGATAAATATTTTAATAGTTAAAAGATCAATAACAAATACAAATTGGGGAAAAATTTCAGTTTTGGTCTGTTTACTTGTCTAAAGTCCATTTTTGTTACACTAACTCCTTATCAAAAATAGTATGTTATGTTGCAATTTGTATCATTTTTGGGACATTACTCATACAAAACAGTACGTTATGTTGCAATTTGTATCATTTTTTAGGATATTAATCCCCCAACGATAATGAACCATTTCCGGGATAATGTCCCAATAGTGATTCGAATTGCAACATAACGTATTATTATTGGTGAAGGAAAAGCTAGTGTACCCAAAAAGGACTTTAGGCAAGTAAACAGACCAAAATTGAATTATTGCCTACAATTTAGTAGCTAATTTTAAACATATAATTAAAATTTAAGAACACCTAAAAAATTCAATATGTATCAAAATCAATGTTGACTTTTGTGGAAAATCATATCTTTGGGGGATTAATATCCTAAAAATGATACAAATTGCAACATAACGTATTATTATTAGTGAAGGAAAAGCTAGTGTACCCAAAAAGGACTTTAGGCAAGTAAATAAACCAAAATTGAATTATTGCCCACAATTTAGTAGCTAATTTTAAACATACTAGTAAAGTGCACGTGCGATACACGTGGTAGTGAATGTTTGTCAATTAAGCTTAGTAAAATTAATTAATTAATTTATTAAACATATCATTGCAAGAGTGAAATAAAACGTAGAACAAATGAGCTCATAATGTAATTATTTTTTACCGATTAAGTTTTGTAAAATAAATAAATTAATTTATTAAATATATCATTGCAAGAATGAAACAAAATGTAGAACAAATTATTTTTCGAAAATAACTTAACGATGTCCTAATATAAAAAGAATTAAATAACATATTACAACCCTAACAAAAAAATGACTAATATATATTATACATGCATTAGTTCTTTTATTTATTTATGTTAGATGATTCGATAGCGATCTCTTTCATTTTGGTTTTGACGTCCTCATAAGAAGCATTGCTAATTCAATAGTATTGCAAAATTCGTTTTAATTTATTAAGCAAAACATCTACTTTATTCAAACACTTAAGAAATATTCTAGCCAAACATATAGTGAAACTTCATGGTTGTATTATCTTTATATTTCTACTAACAATGCATGAATATCTCTGCAAATAACCAACCGCGTCATTAAAATTGTTGATTATTTTTTATCATTGTATAAACTACTATATTACTCTCTTTCTATATATATAGACAAATTGATACCTACCCCATGGATGTATCGCCCTACAAAGGGGAATGAATTTCATCTCTAAATTAAAGTTGACTTTTCAAAAGCTCTATTACGTGTACTTTTCTCAAGATTATTTTTTGAAATCATCACATAATACATAAAAGTACATATTCTAATATAATTGCACATATGTTCAAGCACAATACACCAATGAAATTATATATATTCCTAGAAGAAGTGTCAACTTCATTCAAACATTCAAAAATATTTTGATCAGACTCCAACGTTTCATTTTTAATGTCATTTATTTGGAAGATAGACCAACTATATAATTTATTGTTTGCAAATCATTGACCATCAAGTTCTTGCAATGATTTTAGAATTATTTATCTTAATATGTTTCACATTCGTTTAGATTTGTAACATGTATGTGTCCAATAACTTTTTTAATGCTTTTATCGTCCAACTTTATGCATCATACATAATGCTCAGAAAACTCAAGATAAAGATCATTTTTTGATTCTTCACCAATGACAAAACCAAACAAAACAAAACAATGAGACAACATTGAGAAGCATATAATTTGTTAAAAAATTTGAGATGAGAAGAATTGAAATTCTATTTTATGACTCTTAGTCACCTTTGAACTTTATTATTACGAAATCATTATTAAAATCTACATTATGTATTATAATGTTTTAAATTTTTAATTATTTAAAATAAAAAATTGATAATATAGGATCATTATTTATTAGATCCAATTTCTTACATAATCCATATATTTAAATGCTAGGAACAAAAAAAGCATTATTTTAAAAGACCTTTTGTTTCTACATATTGGTATTTATACTTGTTTAAAAATATTCAGACATTTTATTTTTTCAATTGCATTACTACTATTTTATTAGTTTTTTATTCTATTGTTAGTAATACTTTATTTATTATAAGAATTATAGCGCATTTATATGTATTGCATCATTTTTTGTACGCGTTTCATATAATGACGTTGCTATTAAATATCTTATTTATTAGGCAACAACTAATATAATCACATAAGATAAAATAAAATTTAATATTACTTACTTATTTATTTATTTAATTATAATAATAATATATTTGATAAATTCTTGTTGAAATGTATTGCATCATATAATGACGTTGTTGAAATGTATTACTTACTTATTTATTTATTTAATCATATAATGACGTTGTTATTAAATGTATTGCATCATTTAATATTTTATTTAATTATAAGATACTTATAGGTCTATTTATTATTTTAAATTCTTGTTGATAATTGATATACATCATTGGAAAGAAATGATGTGATATATTACGTATAGAAGGATAACAAATGAAAAAATAATAAGTATTTTAAAATTAAAAAATTAATAGTAGAAAGTAATTAAATTTTTAATTAAAAGAATTTAAGACTAACATAGTGAATTTTAATGCAAACAAAAATATTTTTTTTATGAAATTAAAAGTTCAAGTTAAAATAAATGTACA